CCCCTCCCCCAGGCTGCTGGTGGCTGGACGTGGATGGTGTTTTACAAAGTGGGGTTCTCTGAGTTGTTAGCTCTTTTTAGTTATTATCAACTCCATATTTTGAAATCTAATGTCTAATTACTGGTCGTGTTTTTTCAGGATTGAATGGTTTTATATACCTTTTTTTTAATTTGTTTATTTTGCTGGGGGGAGGTAATTAGGTTTATTTGCTTTTGGAGGAGGTACTGGGGATTGAACCCAGGACCTTGTGTGTGCTCAGCATGGCTCTGGCACTTGAGCTGTGGCATCCCCCTAATTAACCTGTTACTTATGTTTTATCCCCTTTCACTTCTTTGTATTGAGATAAAAAATTGTTTTGGTTTGTTTTGAGGCCACCAACTCCACTTGACATTTTCCAAGTTTTAAAAATGTGTTGTATTTCATTTATGCCCCCATTTAACATCTGTTAATGACATATTTTGTAGGAAAAGACACTGACTTGTCTTAATGAAGACTGAAGGGCTGTCAAGAAGAGGGAATTTCAGGGGTCCTAGGAATAGACTTTTTATGATTTAAATATGCATTGTTTTCTGTTGAGACAGAGCAGATTGGGAACAGTGTATTATTAATGAGTAAGGTGGACTTGTCTTAGTTACATACAGTGACCTGGGTCAGTAAGTATTATTTCAGAGTCTGTACAGCCTTTTTGTATAATAGTATTTTTATGTGTATTAAAGGAATTTGAGAAGATAGGAAGAGAACTGTGGAGATGATAATGGTATAACTAGAATATTATGTGTGTCCTTGTTTATTGGTTGTGGGACATAGTAGGGGTGTGTGTGTGTGTATGTGCGTGTGTGTGTGTTTCGGGAGGGGAGTCGTTGAATACAGGAGAGGTTTATAAATCCTTGCAGTTTTCACACGCTTGAGGAAGAAATTAATTTGACTTAAAAATCGTTCAGGTTGAGTGCTACCGAAGGTAAGGAAGTATGAAGTGCTTATTTTTCGGATATTGACAAGTATTGATTGGTAACAAAAATTCAGAGCTACACCATTAGAAGGTATTCATTTTAGGACATGAGGCTAGCATAAGTTCAGTAAGGTTTATATACTTAGTAACCGTAATGCCAGTTTAATCATAACCAATTTTGTTTGGAAAGTCATATAAAAAGTTCAGAAATGTTACACTTTTTGCTTTAACATAGCTGTTACTTTTATTACTGTTACTTCTTACGTGTAGCACATTTCTGTAGGATAATGTGTATGTTGTAGAGCCTAATGATTTCTGTGTCAGTCATTCCCAGTCCCGTGCAGGAGAAGTCAGAGCTCGGGGTGACTCTGAGACTGTTTCCCATGCCGCCCCAGGGTGTAGCTCCACCGGCGACCGCCCCGGCTGGCACTCCGCTGAGCAGCACCAGCAGCACAGGCGCGACGCCTGCCAGGGGACTCAGTGTGTTCAAACAGGAGAAACGGAAGGTTTGTTTTAGGGAGCTGTCAGACACAGGGGTCTGCTAGGGTTGCTGCTTCTGTTCATGCAGTTGCCTGGCACGTGCGTGGTACTTACTGTGTGCTGCGTGAAGTAATTAGAACTGAAATTGTCAGCTATGTTTGAAGTTACAGTAGGACCAGTTAAAAGTCAGGCATGCAGACTATTCTGTTCTAAAAAAGCAAATGCGGCGCTTAATAAAATCTCAGTAGTGAGCAGGACAGATGTGCGAGCAAACTTGACTGTGGCGCTGGCGCAGGTTCTCCTGTCCCTGGGGTTTGAGCAGACCAGCGAGCGCAGCAGTGAAGGTGGGAGCTGGCGTACGCTGCTCTCCAGGCAAATATTTGTGTTCATGTGTTTGAAAAAGACAAACGAAATTGCTGCTTTATGTTTTGTTACCAGATGCCAGCAACGGTAACCCTTCTCTAACTGTCACTGTTAGTTGTTTACAAATGCCCCGGGTAGGGGATCTGTGGCAAAAGCACCAACGATCTTCAGGCCATATTTGCATTTATTAATTTCTCTGTGTGTGTGTCTGTGTGTACACACTGTCCTTAACAGTCACTCAGGTAGAACTGAAGGCACCTCAGTCAGGTGACAGTGACTCTCGGTGACGTAGTGGCTGCTGTGTGATTCTCTGTGCCATTTCATGCTTACTGGGAGCTTTAGGAACCCCACAGTGGGGACAGGTTGCTTTCACTTTGATTAGGCTTTGCAGGGAATATGTGTGCTGAGGCTGAAAAAAAATCCTTTCTTTAAATGTCTAATAGTTTTAAAATTTTGTGCGTTTAGTTACTTACTTCTGGGAATCCTAATCCTCGAGAAAAAGTAAATGAGTTGTTTAGAGTGAAAATAAATCTTCAGTAACTTTATTATTCAAATACTGCCTCTTTCCAGGGTAAGGCCCTTCCTAAGCCTCCTGGCAGCTTCATGCCGTGGCTCTTGGCTTTAGCCTCTTAACTCCCTGTACGTACCTTTGGTCCCTCACAGTAGTCAGCAGAATGGAGCCCCACGTTGACATTCTTTTTGCTCCTTTATCCATCCCAAGGCGTCAGTGAAAAACCTACTTTGCCTTGTATTTTCCCTTTCCCTTTCTGTCCAGTCCCTAAGCCCTCACGTTTTCTGATTACCCCGCAAGAGGAATAACTTGGAATATTGGAACTGAAATTCTGAAGGTTTTTAAAAAAAATACAGAAGTAAATTCAGCTCATAGACGGAGGGGGATTACTGCAGAGAGTCTGAATAATGTAAAACTGGAAAATGCACGAAATAGCATGTTTTCTTCTTGTCTTGATATTGTGGCTTTGACCATTCTGAGTTGCAGTGTCAGACGTAATGGTTAGTGTGACGTTACTCTTCGTCAGTTGCCGAAGAGGCACAGCATGTTGAATCCCCCCGTTGGCTTGTTTCGTGGTCCTCAGGACAGCCACGCTCCCCTTTCTGGACCAGTTGAGGCGCCCCTCAAGGAACTCGCTGCTTTCTGGAGCCAGACCTCATTGTGGCCCCTGAGAGGAAGCGCGAGGTGCATAGCCTCAGCGAGTCCACCAGGCTCTTCAGGGGTCCCTCCACCCCCACCGCGTTAGGTCATGGATGCTCTTGCGTGACAGAAGTTAATTTTAAGTAAAGTAGGTTTCTTTGCCTCTGCTGTGTGTGCTGACTGGCTGTGGTGGCCTGCGTGGTGCTGAGCACGTGGTACTCATGCACTCAGCGTAACTTCTTGATGACTTCCTTGGCCCACTTTTGGAAAGCGTTTAAGCTTCACTGTATCCTTGGCGTTCTAACATTTATGCTTCACAGATTGATTATGACATTTTTTCTCCTTTTTCTTATAAAAGCAATGTAACAATATTAAGAAAAATTTCAGTAAAAAGAAAATCTAATTGTGCCACGGTGAAAAGATACTGATTGACATGTTATTTAAAATCTCAAAGAGTAGAAAGCTAGCCATCAGGTGTCTAACGAGTAATTGTGGTAAGGCACAGAACAGAATATTGAATGACATTGTGTCATTTAAATAATACCTATATAAAGGATGCACGTATAAACAAATAAAAAATGTTACATGTATGCTGACTCTAAAATACGCACACGACAAATGTCGGAAGATGATATATAAGCAGTAGTTGTGTTGGGCTGATGAGAGAATGGGGGCTATCTTCCTCTTTTCCTCTCATGATTCAATTTTCTGGAACTTCAAGAATTTGTTTAAAAATAGGAGGCTGTGAGGAGTTTGATGAGTCCTCGTTTTAATTTTTTTCTCTCCATCTGTTGGCCTCTCATCTCTCTATTTTTTATACTTGTAGTCGGTGGGGAGGCGATTAGGTTTTATTTATTTATTTTTTAATGGAGGGACTGGGGATTGAACCCAGGACCTCCTGCATGCTAAGCACTTGCTCTGCCCCTGAGCTGTGCCCTTCCCCCACTTCTTACTTTCTTGTCAGCTCTCTGGTATGAGTGTGGTGTTTTTCTGGAACCTGAAGACTGCTTAGTTGCCGCGTAGCTGGCTCTGGGCCTTTGCCTTCACAGGGAAGGCCACGCCATCCTTGTTTGCAGACGTTAGTCTGATTCCAGGTTGGAATCTGAGCACACTTGAAAAGTCCCTTTGAAATGAATTCTAGTTACTGCTAGGGAAAGAGTAGGAAGGAGAGTCAGGTATGTGCGAGACAGGGTTGTTACTCGTGGCGGGGTGGGCCGGGGGCAGGGGAAGGCGGTGAGGAAAGGGCGAGCGCGCTGGCCCCAGGGGGACGCCGAGCAGCCTGAGGCACTTGTTCACCACGATTCCGGCGAGCGTCTCAGTGTCTCGAGGCGGAGTGGAGAGTGTTGCTGAGGAGATGAAGGGACCCTCTCTCTGTTTGCGTCCCAGGTCGTGGAATTGAGTCCCTTTTCTTTTCCCGTGATGCGTGTTTGTGTTCATTATCTTCCCTTCAGTGTTTATTTCCTTCCATTATCTTTTCCCACTGATCGAAGTTAGGTTTTCTTTTACGTGTTTTTCGTAGGCAGTCTCCTAATTTTATCGGCATAATTGTGATAATGCCCCCTTTCCCCTAGCACCTCATTTGAATGACAGAGTCAGAGCACTGAAAGCTAGCTTCACGTGTGGGTTTTGGCTGGCGTCAGTCACTCAGCGCAGTGCCCGGAGCGCTGGGCTCGGGGGTGGGTGCGGGGAGCGTGGCTGCCACTCCCCCGGCGCTGCTGTAGGAAGGGGCATCCGAGGGGCTGCGGAGCCTCCCCCGGGACGGATGAGGGAGAGGGCCACGTGCCTCGTTTGCTTAACAAACATTTGGTACCTAGAAACCTTCTCAATAACGAAATTGAAAATCGTCAAAACTTCATTGAAATACTTTTTTGGAGAAGAAGGATGTGGCATTTACGGTTCTTTGTAAGGCCAGTGAGGAGACTGAGTCCATTAAACAGCTCCCTCCGCTGTCTCTGTTACGCA